AAATATATGTTTTATATATATTTTATGTTGTGCATAGTGGAACGAACCAGATATTCCATTCTACCTCATGCTTCATCAGTGGTACTGTTAACTGGTTTCCATTTTAAGGGCTACATGTATTAATGTATTATTTTTAGACGTAAGCTCAGATACAGGTGTGTTTTTTCTACTGAAACCAATGGCATTTCATTGTAGTTCACTGGGCAGTGTTTCCTGCATCTTCAATACTGTTCATAAGCCATAAAGGACTTTATGGCTAAGTTTAAATACTTACCAGTTATGTGATGATGGGGAAGAGTCTTTTTATTTGTGAACTGAGTAAATACGTTGCACTGATTCTTGGACTGTGAGGATTGTGATTCCCTGAAATTAATTTGCATAAAGTCATTTGTGTCTGCATTTGCTCTTTAAATCTTCTCTGGCTGTATGGGTAACGTAAAACATTTATTTTGCCTTCTTTTATGCAATGTAAATAATAGATACATTCAAGATGAGATCCTGAATATCTCAGTTGGTATACACCAGTGTAGCTCTGGAGAAAGCAGGGTTGCATCGGCTGAGAATCTACCCCCACCATCAGTTGTAAGTGCCAGTCCTGCAGTGCATTATACAAATGTTCGCTGTAGTTTGTCAGCAGCAAAGCTGTCACCCAACAGTACACACGGCCTTCTATCAGCCATTACTTTTCAGTCATCATCATCAAGTGTAGCTTAAGAGAATCTGTGCATCATTTCTTTCCTTCTGAACAATTTCCATTGAAATAATTGACCTGGTTTTATGGTAATTCGGTCTCTGCTATTTGTTACTGCAGCATTTTGCAAAGAAAAATGCAAAACTAATGCCCTAGAACAGAAACATTCAGCCAAATTACTTACCAGTAATCCAAGGAATCATGGATAAAACCATTGCTCAAGTGGCTTCTCGTCTAGAGCTTTATATAGTTTTCACCCAAGGGTTGAGATTTGGGTTTTTTGTGGGTGGAGGGGTTGTTTTGTTTTTGAAAGGTAATACTCATGCTCTCTGCCCTACAGCAACTTTATATAAATCTCTTCTGAAAACTGTATCTGCCAGCACTGTCACTCCACCCGCAAGCTTTCACTAGCAGCACCAGCTAAAAATATTTAAAGGGGCTGTTTCCACTTGTTTGATGCATTTCATTTCATGTTTCTGCATCTTCGTTTCTTCATTCTTCAAAACATTCAATAAAAGATATAACTAAAGCCTAGTGTTTTGAAGTGACAACTAGTAAACAGCCTTATAGCATGATTAATGAGTACTAAGGAATAGTTTGTTGTAACTTACAAGTAAGTTGGGGTCCACTGCATTTGTCTTCAAGTTAATGAAGAAATTCCAGTTATGGGCTGGTACCTTCACTTAGTTGCTGGATATACATGTTTTCCAGAAATTCTACCCCTGGCTGATGATATTCCTGTCAAGGTGTTACACAGTCACAGGGAAGTACAAGCTAGTGCAGAAGTGACACTCAGAATCTGGACTTCTGACAAGTTAAGGAGAACTTTGATTTCCATTTAATAGCTGGAAATGATGGTTGAGATGTGCAATGAAAATAGTTAAGTTTTTAAAAAAATTATTGCCATCCCAAAAGTCAAAATTAATGTTGTTTGGTTCTAACTAATGGATATATTTTTCTTAATTTCTTTGACTTTCAGCAAACTTGGCTTTCTTTGGAGTTTCTGGGCTGCTATCGCTTTTTTCAGAGGAAAGACGCACCAAAGTAAAGACAACATAGATGTTGCCCTACTGGTTTAAGTGGGGTCATTGTCAGTGGAAGGCTTCTAAGGTTTGACAACAGTGAATGTGCTCTGAATTTCTCTACTTTTCTTTGGAAGTTTGTTGAGTAGGTGGATTCCCGTGGCTGAGAGAGCCAACATCTCAGCAGCGACGACATGTCTCAGGCAGAGACATTAGCTCTCTTTTGAGCCCTTGAAAGTGGAAGTAGGCTGGGGAGCAATGGAGTGATGAAGCCATAGGTTGAGTATTTTCATTGCTGCCTGACTGTTATGGAAGTTTGATAGCCATGCTTTGTATCATGTGCTCATGGTGCTTATGCAAGCAGCTTCCACACAAGGAGTTACAGAGCTGGAGTAAATGTATTCATGAAACTCCTATGAAAGTACTGATTGCATTGCCAGAATCCTGCCTCTGTGAGGAAGACGTTACCTCACCTTCCCAACCCAGCTTTTTGGTCACTACTCTTTCTCAATGTTTCTAGTGCTCCAGGACTGCTGTGAATGAAAGAGGGCTCGGTATTTTCAGCACTCTGAGCTGTGCACCCTCCTTCTTAGGCTGTGTGTTGGGTTCGAGGAAGGATTTATGTCTTGAAACATTTTACAAGTGTTATGTTGAACATTTCATTCTGATGTTGCATGTTCAGAGGTAGCTTCATTTAGTAAACTGAGCCCAAAAAATCTAGTAGCAAATAACTTTTACATGAAATGAGGTAGTGATCTCAATCTAGACTTGTGGAAAATACGTGGTTACTTGTGCTCTTGGCACAGAGGGGAAGGTTGGCAGTGATCCCTATAGGATGTGGATTTCTAACATGGGTGAGGCTGGGTGGGACACCTATGTAATTCTGCTTCTTTGATGAAGAATGAGAAGAGTATTATGAGCTGAGATATTATTATTCCTTTTACTATTTTTTTTCCCCCAAACAACAACTTATTTTTTCTAACTAAAATAACTGCATGGCTAATCTTGCCATATTAACTCTCCTCAATGAGTGAATACCTTAGGAGTAGACTTTGATGGAAATTACTAAAGTTGACAAACATTTCGTTATATAAAGAGTAGACTTTGATGGAAATTAGTTACTAAAGTTGACAAACATTTCGTTATATAAAAGGAAATGTAGTACAATCTAGCTTCAGAGTTCAGAACATTCAGAATGCCCTGGTTAATGTAGTATAATACCACAGTCAATTATAGTTCTTATTTTACGTTTTTCTTTTTCTCTTTCTCACACAATCCTAGACCACAATTTCATAATGTTAATGAAATGTATTGTGATGTTCCTGTAGGCCGCTGTGGGTAAATAATTACAATATGAGGAAGGTGATTCATGATGTGGCACTAAGTCTGTAAAGTAGGACTTTGTGACTGATTAGGATATAAAAAAAGTGGATTGCAGTGTCTCAAAAAGTCCTTCAAAACCGCTGACAGATCAGCCTCTAGTCTCTGCAAGGATCACCTGTCTCAGCCCAACAGATGCTTCTGTGAGAAGTTTTGGTGATTTGTACTTGAAGCCTTCTTAGTGACCTAAAAACTATTTTTTGTGATGTGTTCCTGACAACTTCTCCTCTTATTCTTCAACCAACTAGGCAATTAAAGCTTGAACCTTCTCATGAGAAGATGAGATTTCTGACAGCATGCCTCTTCCTACACACACATCGTGCTCTACGTTGAGGGTCAGAAGTAACACAATGCCAAGGCTGGTCCCAAAATCCAGACCTATGGCTGGCAAGCTTGGCGTTTTTATTTCTCCTGCTCATTCAAACCTAGACCAAATGCAGAAGTTTCTCCACTGCTGTTTGCAGTTCTCTTTCTGACTGCTGGAGGAAGAAATGTCCACAGCTATTTAAGAAATTAATATTTCTTAATATGAAATTAAGGAAAATGTAGGCAATATTTTAAAGCAATTTCCTGTGTAGCCAGGAAAATGCTTTAAAAGAGTATAAAACACAGTGCAAATATTGCTGTTGCTTCTTCTCCAGTCATATGCTGCGCTTTAAAAAGCCAACATGTCTTATTCCACAAAAAGATCTTTATACTTCTGAACTTTCAGAAGCCTTAATCAATATAAATAACAGTTTGAGCATTATGACATCATATTTAGTCCTAGAGTTGTGCATCTCAGCTGCTTAGTCATTTAAATCCGTGGAAATAAGGACAGCACTTAGAAGTTTCAAAAGGTCAAAGAAGCTACTGTCTTTTTAGTTTTGAATCAGCTGAGAGACTCCAATTTCTTGGAAACATAATGCCAAGGCTGCATGTTGTTTCTCCCCTCCCCTCCCCTTGCTTTTGAAGCAGTATAGTAATTAGCTTAAAGGGCAAATCACACCACAGTCAGTAGCATGATACTGTACAGTGCAAGTTCCTTTCTATTTTCTCTTTCACTTGAAACTAGTTTAAAGAGGAGTTTTAGCCTGCATTGTCTACTGAAATATTTTACTGAAGTTCTCTTATCCAAATGCCAAAAAGCTGTTCATGTTTTTCAATAAAATTAATACTATTTTCAGTACAAATATGACAAGTTCTTTTACCATTTTTCTCAGAAGGAAAATAAGCGATAAAGTGTTCCTCAGGGACCAATTTGTGAGAAAATTAAAATGAAAATGAAAGCAGAATACTTTTAAAAACTTAGTTTTAAATGCAATTTGTTGTTTTCTTTACTGAAATAACAGCATGACTGCTGGGAGGAAGCCACCCATCATCTAGACTGCAATGGAAAAAACCTGTTCCTTTTTTTCTTATCTGATGCATTGGTCAATTAAAAGTTACGATCAGAACCTGTGCTACATTTATCGGTATAACAGGACTCTACAGCATTTTAGGGACTGCTATTTCTTGTATGTTTTTCCTTATGGCTTTTTGGTTTATTTTCCTGTATTTCCAGCTGCCGTTCTGCTGCTGAAGTGAAACTGTCCAGACGGGTTGTTGAGCGTTTCCATTTCATGGTATACGCAGCTTTCTCAGAGCTAGGAGCTGCAAGCTGGCGCTCTGGGGAATTCTGGCTCCTCGCCTTGATGGTAGTTTTGCTGTGGTTCGTGAGACTTTACCTGCATTATTTGAGTCAATGGCTCTTCCTTCAGACCATCTCGGTTCCTGTTACAAAGTAAGTTCCACTGCTTTCTTTCCCTGTTGGAATATTTCTACAAATAACTTGATTTAAAGTGGCTCCTTTACGCTACGAAAAAAACTGCTGACTAAGACTTGTGCTAAGGGCTCTGTGTGCAAGTCCTAATAGGACCCTCTGCAGAGACTAGGAGAACAAGGACCATGTCCAGACTCCAGATAATGATATGTAAATATGACCCTAACAGAAACGTTAAAGTGTTAATAATGTAAATTTTCAACCCAGAACAGGACATGTCCATTTGTGCATCTTCTGTCACGCCTACCTCTCTCCCCTCTGAGATACCCAGCAGATTATGTATCTTCCACAAGAATAATTTATCATTTTGGATCAAGTATTTCAAAATGCTTAAGAAATGCACAAAACTGAAGAAGCATTTAAACCGTATTTGATGTTACCAAAATGATTTATGAGTAAAATGCTTTGAAGAATTTAACTTTGCTATATCAGTTTTACTGTGAGAACTGTAATGGATTGACATATTTTATCTGTATGATACATTGTCTTTAGCTCTGGAATCAGAGCTTTCTAGAGAGTTCCAGGAAGAACATTACTTGTTTTTACTTGGTATGAAAAAAAAAGAAAAAAGAAAAAAAGATGGAGAATAAGTCCACAAGGTGATATATACTTAGTTCCCCATATGTTACTGTGGGGTAGAGAATGGGATTACAGAGGGAAAAACATTGGTCATTCTTAGGAAAAGGAAGATTTCTCCAATATAAGCTCTTTGTTTCTTTTCTTCACTTTAAAGCATCATACAAACCTAAATCAGTCAGCAGGAGCCAGTGACATGCAACTCCATGATCTGTGTCTGCTGAGATGCTGGGATTATTGATTAAAATTTGAATGGGGTATCTGGGCAGCACTGAGTATTATTAAGGTGGTTTTCTAGATCTTAATGCAAAGTCAGCCATTTCTTGCTTCTGGCCTTGCACAGACCAGGTGGGCTCAGCCAGCTGGCATTAAAACTTCTGGGAGACCAAGCATCAAGAGTGTGAAAGCAAAGGGAACACAACAGAAGGAAGCAATGTGTGAGAGAGAGGTGGTCATGTTCGAAGCCACTAATCACAGCTGTCCCAGGCAGTCAGCTAGATAAAGGATAATGTTCTCAAGCCAAGATGCCCTGAATCAGCATCCTAAACTGTAGCTGTGTACCTGCAGAACAAGAGACTGAGTTGAGCAAACTCTAGTCCCACCAAATACAGTGGTAGTGCTCGTGAGTTAGAACTAAAGTGAAAATCAAACCACTTCAACTTTACTTCAGAGCAAAATTCACTTGAATTTTTTACCTTAAATTTCAGCATCTGTATGTAGTTTGCAATACCATGCAGTTCTTGTCTCCTACAGTGCTAGCAAATTTGCTCATTGTGTGAGCTTTTCAAATCCCACCATCCCATGGAAGTAGGCTTGTTTAGCCTGGAGAAAAGGAGACTGTGGGGACACATTCTTGCTCTCTACAACTACCTGAAAGAAGGGTGTAGCAAGGTGGGGGTTGGTCTGTTCAACCAAGTAACAAGTGACTGGACAAGAGGAAACGGCCTTGAGTTGTGCCAAGGGAGGTTCAGGTTGGATATCAGGAAGAATTTCTTCACTGAAAGTGTTATCAGGCACTGGAACGGGTTACCTAGGGAAGTGGTTGAGTCACCATCCCTGGAAGTTTTTAAAAGATGGGTAGATGAGGTGGTCAGAGATATGGTTCAGTAGTGGACAGGTACAGTTGGACTTGATGATCTCAAAGGTCTTTTCCAGCCAAACAATTCTATGATTCTAAGGTGGAAAGAGGGACATTTTCAGTAAGTTGAGGCATGGGGCCTGTGCTCACACTGGTGTTACTGGGAGCTAATGTCTTCCCACAGCCCTGCATGCACAGTCCCAAGGGCCTCGATGTGCATCCACTGAACTGAGAGTCAGAGGGGATCAAAGGATGTGAAGGCAGGTGGAGGAGAAAAATTTTATTTTTTTTTTTTAGTGGCTTCATAGTTTTGCTCAGAGGATTGTGACCAAGATAGGGATGCCACTTTACAATCCCAGGTGCTGCATGCATTATTCTATGAGTTTTTTTAATGGTTTACCCAGAAGCTCAGACAAATTCTCTCCTTTTGCTTATTTACAGGTTCCAGCTTTTCCCTCACACTGTTGAGCTGTGCTACCAGAACTCCTTGCTGCAGACCAGTGAAGAGTTGGTCATGGTTGTTGTGGGACCCCTAACCTTGAATGCAGGGCTGCTTCTTATGGTCCTGATCAGATGGGGCTGTCAGAGGCTGTTTGACTCATTCCCTTCCTTCTTGTCAAAGTTTATCATAGCTCTGGGACTCTGGACCGTGCTAGACCCCTTGGCAGTGTTCATAGTGGATTCAGTCCTGGGGGTAAGTCACTTAAAATAACTTGGACATGAGACCTTGACGTAGAAGTTTGTTTTATTCAATGAATCACTGAAAGATATGAAATTCCACCCCTGGCAATGGAACATGAAAGTTAAAAAGAAATTAAATAATAATGTTATACATTACCTTTTTATTAACAAATTCCCATCTAATGAAATCACCGTGTTTCTGCATAAAATTAAGAGCACTGTACAAGCCATATATGGAGATAAGAAAGTAAATCCACCACTGAAATGATTGCATCTGCTTTCAAAAGGACTACTGCAATTTCAAATGTTAATGGAGATGGGTTAATGAGCAGTCCTGATTATTAGCACTTCAGATTTTTCTAAGAGCTGAAACAGACAAACTGGAAAAATAGCAAAACCAAAAGGAGAGGTTATTTTGTGCTTCTCTGACATGTAGGGTAGTTAATATAACCTGCTGGAACACCTAAAAATCCTTGTGAGATTGAAAGACAGATGTCTTGAAGGAAGGATCTTCATCACATGTAAAATCATGCAGGCAAAGCTCCTATATCTATCTGTGCCTATGTATGTGCTGTGTAGCCCACCTGTAATTTGGTGGCAGGGGGTTTTTATTGCATAGGATGTAATGCCTGGTCTCCCAGAAAATGTGTTTCAGATGGGGCTCTTGCTGTGTAGGTGACACAGGGTCCTTCTGATGGGCGCAGGGCACTGTGAGCTTTTCTGAGAGTTTGGCATTGCCGTTCTTCTGCCCTTGTCTGCCTTTCAAAGAGATCTTTGTTTCTGTTGTTCTCTCTATATCAAGCATTAATCCACAGACCTTACTCTGGATCAGGTTTTCTCTGGTTTCTTGGTTCCTCATCCACTAGCCTGTGCATTGCTTTTAAGAAGTCCTCTTAAAATATTATTTTCTACTCTTTACATGCAGCTTCACATTGCATTGTTTTTTGAAAATTAAAATTCACCTGTTCAAGAAATTTAATTGGAGCTCACTTGGGAGGTAATTGCAATATTTTAAACATGTGGCAACACACTGTAGTTTTCACTTGGATAGTCTGTTGTTTTGTTTTTTTTTTTTAAATCATTATGTATACCATGCACAGAATTGAATTTTAATTTTAATTTTTCTGATGAAGATTCTTTTTTTCGTAGGAGAAAAAGGAGTATTTCCCCAATATCCAGGCTAGAAATATTTAAATATTTAAAAGGGCTTTTTTCTCCCCTGTAATACTGGTGCGTGAATAAAAACTGGAGGAACGCTGAGGTCTGCCTTGTCTTTCCCACACTTGCATTGAGAAAATTTTTATCACTCAGTTCAGTGGAGTTGTGTACAGTTCTTGTCAGACTGGATTCGTTATCAATTTCAAATAGGGCTTCTTTGCTTGTTCAGAGGAAAATAATAATAAATAAAGTAACTAAGTTTTTCATGACAGCATAAAAAAAGCACACCTCACACTTCATACTGAAAATTTGTCAGTTTTACCCACCAAGATTGTCTTTGGTAGAAACTCATTTGTTCAAATATTACACAATATACTGTGTGTATCCTTTCCAAAATGAAACTGTATTTTTTACATGTGTTTTTGTTATTGCATTTGTTATGTTTTTTTTCTCTCCTGGCATTCTTTCAGCAGCTATTTCAGATTTACTTGCCAATCTATTTTAGATCAAGCATTTTTTAAATGTTATGTTGTGTTAATAGGAGTTATTTTAGTGCTAGAATGTATTTTAGTATCCTAAATGGCCTTAATACTTATGAAAGATGACAGATAGCCCTGGAGACAAAAGTTTCTTTGTTTACTAACTAATTTTTTTTATTGTTAAGGGAAAACTAGAGAGACAGTTGCATGTTTGGGGGGTTTTAGACCATAGTTCAAGATACTGTGTCAAATATGCCATTCCAGGCTTGGTTTAGTATCAGCTTGTAGAAGGATGTTCCAGGGGTGAGAAACTACTATGATTTTTGGAGAATGCAGTTCTAATTTCAATTCTGCCAGAACTCTCCTGGGACCAGTCACTGTGTCTCTCTGTAGCATGTAAAATGCAGAGTAACACCTCTTTAATCAAATGGATACACAGCACCAGAAAAAAAAAATTACAGATTGCAAAGCTCTCATGACCATGGCTCCGTGGTGTGATAAGAACCTAAGACAGCTATTGACTAATGTTATTTAAAGAATTTTAAATTAAGATAACTTTCTTGGATCATATTGTTGAGGACTGCAGATGAATCTCTCTGGTAGAAAGATCCACTTCCTCTACCCCAGTTCTTTTGCCAGAAAGAACTGCTTGGATAAGAGAGAAATTTATTCTTATTTGCCATTCAGACTTTTGCCTCTCTGGAGGGATGTGAGGACGTGACTGCTGTGCAGAGGATTCTCCTTGGTAGGCAGTCTCTTCAGTAGGAAAGCAGTGGAGGCAGACAGCTGTTTTGCAAGAGGAGAGGATAGGACATAGAGATAGAAAAGAACCAGAGGATAATATATTTTATATTTTTTTGTAAAGCATGCAAACAGATCTAAACTAGTGACCAGTCTTTATATACCATTACCAGTCTCTGGGGACCTGTGATTTTCATTACAGAAACCTGGCAGTGTTGCAAAAGGTGGAGAGAGAACAGAGCTAGACTCAAGAATCTCAGTCCTTGTTCAGTTCATCATTGGACTTGTAATTGTCTTTCCTTTACTATGTATGTCATCACAAAGGTAGCCAAAAATGGGGAGAAAGCTTTGACTCTTCTTAAGGATTAGTCCAGGCAAGTTATTCCAGAAGATGCAGGTTTCTTGAAGCCTAAAGGTCACAGACTCCCTCTCTAATGACAAATACTGGATTTTTTGGTGGCGCAGGTTCACTTCCTTGCAAAATGTTTTTTACATGATTTAATAGGGATGAAACTGCCACTGTGTCACTTTAAAAAGGAAAAAGTGAAGACAGGAATTTATTTTGGCTTTGAGCAGACCCATCATATGTAGCTGAATTCTTCTAAATCGATCCAGCAGAGGGCAATAATATGTCAATACAGTAGCTAGTTCTTAAGAACTAGATATATAAAAGGAAAAAAAAAAAAAAAAGAGAAAAGAAAGGAAAATAATAGATTTTTGGAAAATTTTTTTCCCTGTTTTACTGGAAGCATAAGGAAACACAGTGCACTGCAAAACCTTCAGGATTCTTCATGAATCTTTGCAAAAATACACAAACCACCTTATTCTCAATTAAATTAATATTTTTATTCTATTAATATTAATTCATTACCAATATTTAGAATCATAGAATCATGTAGGTTGGAAAAGACCTTTAAGATCGTTGAGTCCAAGATTTGTTTCATCTTCAGTAAAATGAAAATACTTCTATATGTTTATTTGTTTACAAAGCAGTTGAGCATAAAATATTAAGAGCATTACTAAGCAGGGTATATGGCAGTCATGTACCTTTGGAGAAGCAATTAATGATAGAACTTAAGGTTGCTACTTAGTACCATTAAGAGATATCTTTAATTCCACCACAGCAGTGGAAGTATGGTACAGTCAAATCTCTTCAGAGCTATTGATCTCATTGTGTCTTTATTTCTTCTTAGGAAAGAAAGAAATTAAATGAGAGCTATATTATAAAATAATGCTGATTCTTGTTGGTTCCTCAGTGTTACAGGCTGTCATTGTGACTTCCCAAACTGGACTCTGTGGGTACTAGGAATGGGGAGTGAGGGGAACGTCTGATTTTCTGACTTAAAGGGTTGCAGACAGATGGATAACGCATGTACATAAATTAAAATACTGGGGGAACTTGTCTCTTTTACACTGAAAAAAGGTCAAACCCTTTGGGCAAAACATCAAAACCTTGCTGGTGTCCCCTGTTGATCTACTTGTAGTTGTTTTCTCCATTTTTCTCACCTCATTGGGTCTCAGTGAAGCTTTGTGATCCACCACCTTCTTTGATGCTGTTTGTAAGGCTAGTGGAAAAGCTGTGTTGGGTGTCAACTAACAACACGCGCAGATGCCCTGATACTTCTATTTGGCATTTCAGATAACATGCCAGTGACTTTCATTTTCCAGTGGTAGCACCAAACCCTAACTCGATCTGAAGTTGGGCGTTGGCAAGCACATGCTCTCCAAAGTGCACATGTTCAGAGTGATGTGTGGGTAACTTGCTGAGTTTGGTGGGAACCAGCATTTTGCTTGTGACAAGGGCAAGTCATTTTGAGACTGGGCAGTTTGTAATTATGCACTGGCACAAGTGTTTTCTGCTCAGTCAGCACTCCCAAAACCAGCAGCATAAATCATTCAATATTATTCCTCTCTGGTCATTGAAATAAGGCAAATTCCAACCTTCCTACCCTTCCACTTTTCCTGAAATATGTTAATGAATCTCACACTGAGTATTTTCACTGTGACATGGGTTTTGTTCAATAGGTCACCGTAACTGTGCTAAAATAAGCTAGAAAATAGTTTATTATACATCTCATGGTTAATTTCAAATTTTATGTAGCAGACTCCTAAGTTTCAAGCTGTGTGCCTCACAAATTACAATTAAACCCCTCTTATAAAGAAATTTATATTCTTTTATGTCTATAGGTAAATAGTCTAATCAAGTTTGTTATTTTATTACATTGATTTTTTTTTTTTTCCCCCACGACAGCGACTTGGGAACAGCGTAGAGAAACCCATTGCTGATGCTGCAAAGCTCTATTGGGTCTTTCTAAGAGCAGAAGAGTCAGGGATTCCTGGTGCCTTAATCACTGTGATGCTTTATACAATCCTGTTCATCATCTCATCAACAGTGTTGTACCTGTACTTTTTAAGGTATGTCTCTCTATCTCATTATTCCCTTAGGAGCTGGGGCTCAAGCCCTTCTTCTGTAAGTTAAAAATAAGGTGACATCAGAAGTCATATCAATGTCACATACCAAAAGCCCAGAATTGAAGACAATCAAGAAGGGGTTAGCTTCTGCTTCACTTTTAATGCTCTGGCATTTGGTGGGCACAGTGAGTCAGAGAAGGAGCCACTTATTTCCTCAACAGTAACACAGCTGATATAACGATTTTTCATAGAGTCTAGGAGCCTTTCATTTAGGTACTTTGGAAGGCGCTGTCTTGAGTCTTCCAAGCAGGGCTTTTGTGAGAAATAGGAAAAATTCGGAAAGAAACATACGGTGTGAAGTGGAAAATCTGTCTCTGAGTCTGCAAGTGGCCACCAGCGTCTTACAGCCTTTTGATGATACAGGATTTTTGGCTTGATGTGACTGAGGCTTTAACCCACTGTGTGACACGACTTAATCCAAATAATATTTCCATGACTTTAGCTCATTATTAATATTCAGTTCATCATGAAATTTGACCAACTGCCTTTACTGTTGCCTTTCCTAGAAGGTATCATTAGCCGTACAGTCAACAGGGACAGATGTGGGACACTGAAAATGAAAGAGAGAGATTGTCTAATATATTGAATGAAAAAGTGTATTTTCTTTTTTCTGAGTGACTCATCTGTAATGCAGAATGAATTTTATATTGGCCCTTGATTTACCCAGTGATGGACATTGAGTGGTGGTAAGCACCAATAAAAAGCTGTACGCAAAAGCAAGATGTAGGCAGGTATAGGAATAGAAAAGCTGAGCATACGCCCTCCATCTGACAGAATCATCCCTTGGTTTCCTTTCCAGAAATTCTGTTGCAGCAGGCTGAAAAAGATAAATGGCAATCTAAATTTCTGCAAAGTACTTCAAAACTCCTGCGTTCCTGGAAGCTGTACACAACTCCATTGTACTGGTAGTCTAGTTAATTAGTTTTTGAGATGTTAATGCCTTCTTAATCATTGACTTAATAGTTTTGAATAGCTTCATAAGTTTTAGCTGCTGTCGTTTATTACTCAGGAAAATTAATTTAAATTAAAACATTTGTAAGGCAGGTTTTTATGAGAATATTACCAACATCTTCATTGTCTGGGGAACAGGTGCAAGATCATCAAAGGTTCCTTTCCTTCTGGATCAATTTTCCCATAATGTTTTCCAATAAAGGGGTGGAGGGAGAATGTTACTAGGGGAAAAGAGTTGTCTTAGTACGACACATTTTAAAAATGATTCATAGCAAGATACAAAACCAAAGGGAAGAGAACAAAATCTGTTACAGTGCATAAGTTCTTTGCTTGATAGCAAAAAGAAACATTTTGAATATTGGAGTACGGAATAAGGTTACACTATGAGCTTCTGAAATTGGATCAGCTTTCTCTTTCTTGTATGTCCATAGCCCAACATGATAGGAACTTTGGACGTGTCTAGGACTCTTGAGCAGCACGCTGTCAGTCAACTAATAATATAGTATTAAAACTTCTTAAAATGTTTCTCTGCCATTCATAACATTGTTTCCTGAATATTGATTCAACATAATTTCCTTTCAAGAGAAAATAACTTTAGAACCAAGGCAGTAGTATCCCTTTGTGAGAATATTTCTCAGGTGTTATATATCAAAGATGTTAAAATATAATGTTACTTGACTCAGAAAACATATTTTTTACACAGTCATCGACCACATCTTTCTCTTGTAAGGTAAACCAATATAAATATTGAGGGACATATTCTCTGTCCAAAGACACCAGCCTACAGAAAAGACTTTGGATGTTGGACGATGGAGTTGGAGCCATTGGTTAGAATTACTCAGCAATTTGTCATTTAACAAAAGTGTTCAACAGAGGTTGAAAGTATAAGGTATAAGAAAAAGGTATAAGAATAGTGAATCCATCAGACCATCAAAGCAAATAGGGGAAATGTCTGTTTCTGCCAGAGCTAGAAAGCTTCATGGCAGCACTGATGAACAACCAGGAAGCTAACGAAATCATGGATAAGGGATAAACAGCAGTAGGCATCTGTTTGTGTCTTTATAAAAAAAACATACCTCCATAAATCTGGCTCCCCTTGGGTGTCTTGAGAGTCTGAAGTACCTCTAGCATGAAGAGATATTCTAATTACTTTTTGGAAAAATGAAATAGCACTGGTTGCAATTCCTTCATTTTAATTCTGTTAGACATTAGAAGCAGTCAGGAATTTGTTGGTGAAATGTTTTCTGCACTGTGAGAAAATGCAGACCCGTTTCAACTAAAAGTATCTGCTGGAAAGAGTCTAAATTTCCTAGTATTGAAATATTTTTTTGGGAAAAGCTTCAAAAAATCTACATTTTTCAATGTTAACAGCAAAATTATTTCTATATTTTTTACAGTTGTTTTCCAAAAAGAATGAGAAAGGCTCAAGCGAAGATGTAATAAATGGTTTTAAACCACTCTACCCTTCAATTTTTGGATTGTGCAAATTTTTGCGGAGTTTGTTTTTTTAATTTGACTCTGAATAACAAATAATTTCAATGTTTTCTGTTATTTCTGATAAATAAATGAACTTGCAAGGTATTATACTGGGTCTCATATATCCAGAAAATAACATCTGAGATTTAATTTGCTTTTTATTGCATTAGCAATAGAAATTATTACTTTCATATTTATAAGAAGCCATGTTAAGGTACAAGAAGAAGTGTTTTATTAGTTTTCATGTCAAAGAAAAGAAATTAAAGCAGGTAACGGGAGCAGGCTGAGTACTTTTGGGCAAAAGGAACAAAGCTGGAAGACAGGCTTCGTGATTCTTAATTAATTCAAAGTTAATTATACTGTTTATAACCATGTGCTTAAAATCTTCATATAGAAAATGTTTATGGCAGCAAATAGACAGTAATTTAACTGCATTAACTTTTACTTCATTTGAAATAAGAATGTTACATTAAGTGAGCTTAAATAAATGGCATGGTCTTTTCTTGTTTAGAAAGATAAAGTGGCAAGTCATTTTAATTGCTGACCTGGAATTTCAAAGATGAACTCGATGGAACATTATTGTTCCAAGATGAGCTGAAGACCAGAAAGCCCACCAGATTGATTGATTTCTAGTTTCTCAACTGAGCACAAAATAATTCTAAGTTATGAATCAATGTTTGAATAAAAGGTATCTATTTTGTTGAAATAACATCTAATGTAGATCCAGGGATTAAGAGAGAAACTTTTATTTGAAGTAACTGTGGAATCTGGAAAATTACTCCATGAAGGGTATTAGTTATTTATAAAAAAAAATATTGCCTTCTCTAGTGTGTTTTGAGACACTTTAGGATCCTCCTCTGCCCTAGCACTGATTTACATTTCACACTTTAGAGCTTTTTCTATTATTTCTTGGTAGCTAGTTTATTTATATTCCCAGGACCATGTACATCTTGATTAGGTTATCTTCTAGCTGCTCTCCTCTTTCAATAAGAGAATCCCAAAATGACATCTTAGAAACTACAGCAAATTTAGGGCTGCAGCTTCAAAAAGGGATGTTTCAAAAAAGAAGGGTGGGGAAAAAAAGTATAGACAACACCTTTGCAGCAAAGCAGGAGTTGTAAGTGCCTAACCTGATACTGAGCCAGGTTTCCAGATTTCAGTATCAGAATAACTACTCCATCACAGAAACTCTTGGATATAGAGCTTGACCTTAAGGTATGTATTTACCTTTGAAGAGAGAGCTAAAGCTTCTCCTGAGATCAAGTTGAAAAATTGTCTGTTGGTGCACCTCCTTATTTCTGTTCCACACTGAATCTCAGTTGTGGGCAAAACTATACTAAGCAGCCTATTGAGTGTGCTTCTCTGCAATGACTGTGTGCACTGTAAGGTGAGATGGAGAGTTAATGTAAATTTGAACTTTATTCTAATTTAATTGAACAGTCCACTGCCATCCACCCACCCATACATCAGTTAACATCTATATCCAAGACTCAAGAATAAGGACCAGCCACAAGAACTGTATCTGGTACTGCAGTACATGAGAAGGATGAGAGTTCAGAGGGTCCAAGGAGTTGTGCCTGTGCTCTCCTTGCCACCCGCCAAGAAATCGAGGACCTATACAGCTCCACAGAAATTTGGGTTTTTTGTTGGTTACAGTGCCACAGAGCAATCCCCACGCTTCTCACAACTACCCAACCAGACTCTGGGAAGGATGAAAAAGCTGAGACTGGCGTCAAGCAATGACTGAACTGTAATAAAGTATTAGCTTGGAAGAGGAAGGAAAAAGGAAAGACCTCAGTTCAATACCCAAGACTGAGATTCCAGATTTTCTGATCTTTATTTTCCAAACCCCTGGTTTTGGAATAAAAGTAGGATGAGAAAGAGATGAACTTGAAGAGGTTCCATTTCAATTAAACAGCAATGTTTTGAAGTTTTAAAGTTCATCTAAGGCTAAAAATGTGACACTAGGCTTTTCCAAAAACCTCACAATATTTCTTGGTTTCACCTACATTAAGAAATACCACACAGAAAGCCTTTCTTGTGGTGGAGAATTTTACTGCGTAGTGCTTATTCAATTCCCTACCACAGCACAGAAATGTCAGAGAAAAACAAAGCCAACAAATGAAATGAACTTTTCTAACATCAAGAGACGCTTAGATTGTATAGACTTCATGCTTGGGTTTGAAAAAAAATGGTGAGTAGTTCCTTTCCATACAATGTGGTTCGCCCATTATTGAACCCTGGCACAGCAGGACTTCCATTCATGCCTATTGAGGTAGTCCATGTACGCACTGGAACTAGTTACCCAGCCCAATGCTAAGGACAGACATTGGACATTTCTGCAGGAAAGGAAGATCGGGGTCTTTTTGGGAAGTCAATAACTTGATTAAAATAAATTGCTGCTTAAGTTTATGTGATTTGATTCTGGTATTGTAAACTTTCCAGAGGGATGGGGAGGATTGTAAGTTAGAGAACTTGTAGGAAAGAGGCTTCTTACTCATGGGTAGAGAATATAGTCATGAAGGGAAAAACAAGCTTTAGAAGTCTACAAAAGGGTAAGACACCTTCTTTTTTGCTTGAAGAGTCCTTTCAAAGAAGAACCAAGTATGTCATTTCTATCCATAGGCTACATAGCGAAGGTTGGCTGTTGGATGTATTTCAACGCATCCATGGTGAGGAGGGCGCATTCTTTGTTCCACTGGACTTAGAGATTTCCAGTCAGGAGCTGAGCTACATTGTGAAGAGGGCTGAGCAGTGGAGAGGAATCAACGGTGAAAGACGGATGGTGAGTGGCAAACAGAGTCTTCAAGAGGGGTCTGTGACATACTGATCCAAATTAATGCTTTGTATTTCTGAGTATTACCTACAAGGATGTAGATATAAAAGAAAATTTCCTTAGGGTGCTTCTTTGAATGGAGAAGCTAAGAAGCACATTCAGGAGAATTTTATGAGGTTGTATGTGCTTTGCCTGAACGTCTTGAGGGGTTACAATCTGCTTAGTATCCAAAGGCTTAGCGGCATCACTGTTGTCAAAAATTATACATGCCATCTAGTGATTCTTGACTGGGTGGTAGAGACTTTCTACTTGTTTAAATGTCAGTACCATCCCAGATAATTTCTCAGCCAGCTCAGCAAACTGGGGAGCTCCATGGACAAGTCAAATTTGCTCCCTGCACAAGTTAAATTTGCTCCCTGCAAGGACATGGATGGGGCTGCCCTGAGGAGGGGGTGTGATTTTGGTGGGTCAGATGTGATAGCCATGCTGTCTTTCCTGGCTCTTTCCTTCCAGGATGGCCCAGAGGGGTGGGCTCAGTTGGAAATGTGCAGGGGGAGGTAGGAGAGGTCTGAAGTTTGTCTGCTCTACTTTGGTTATCAAAATAATTCCTCTTTCTTTTCCATTAAGCTACTAGCCTCTAGTCCCATATGCAAACTTCAAGCTGTGTTATGCAAAGTGTCCAGTGTTGGGGATGCCATTCACAAATGAGGCTTCTGGTCATAATTGCTTTCAGAGAGTTGAAAATAACAGAACTAACACGCTCAGTAGTCTGTGAGGATCATTGTCTTCCCTCTGTGAGGGACATTTTCTTCCTTGTTTTCTAGCTTTGCATCATCATTATTAATTCCCATAGGACTATCTTACAAAACAGCTCTTGGACAATTATTAAAGTGCTCATCAATCAGATTTATACATCTGTGTATAATGCTTTGTTTGGTAACTCTCCTGCTTCAATGCAAAAATGAACAGATTCCAGATAGGAAGGAAATTAGTCCTCTTATGTATGTAAGAGTTGTTTACTTTGTTTTCTAACCCAGTGGAATGAGTGATTTCAGATTAGGGTCTGCAGGTTTTTTAAGTCTCTATAGCTACCTCTGAAAGATCAGCAGTTTATATAAATATATAGCCTCAGTTGTCACTGCTATAAACATCTGGCACAGCTGTAATTATTTTCCACTTTTTTTTTTTTTTTTTTGTGATAACAGTTTGGACCCTGAAAGGAAAAATAAAAAGGTGAATGCGCCAACTGAATGAAAAAGCAGATACTCGTTTAGCTTAATTTTTGTGGGAAAGTGCAGAGCACCACATTGCATTTTAATAGAGGGGAAGGAAAAGGTTTGAATGAGTGAACGTGCTACCACAGCCACCTGCCTCAGACTTTTATACAGATAGCACTTATTTGCTTTACCCCAGTAGGCAAAATAAGCCTTTCCCCCCACCCCCCAAATAAAACATTCTACAGTAAGTCAAAGTATAGCCAATGATGACTGGTTTCTATTACCTTTGTTACAAGTTAAGTAAGGTCAAACAAAGAATATATATAGTGGACATCATTTTACATGCCAGGACTATCAATGCCATGTGGAAAAAGTAGTGGATAAGGTAACTGCAAACAACTACTTTTCTGTTTCAAGTGCTGAATACATTTCTAATTATATTACCAGAATATAAGTACAGAAAGGCCTGAGTGCAGGGTAAGAGGAAAGAAGGAGAGGATAGGGGTAAAGACAAATAGAAAAGAATGGAAAGAAAAATTATTTCTCTGCATACAGATAGTCTGTCCCTGAATGGAAGAAATCTGGATTGTCCTCTGCTGTAAGACACATATCAGAGGGCAGAACATTGAAAATATGACCCATAGTTATAGACATATGTAAGTACCTAGTTTTTTCCCAGTATTGAGCTTGGCATCTACGAAATGCCATGCTGAAATGTGGGTACCTGACCTTAGCCTGAGATGCTTTGAAATTGACCCGGTCTCAGCCAGATCCAGCAGCACGGTGGGTGCAGTCAGAGCAGAGGGAGGACACCCTGTGTCCTAAGCCCCCAAGTTTCTGATTCCTATTCCATCCACATCTGCATGAATTTAATGCCTTTTCCTCTATGTAAGCCCTAACTAAATGCCAGGCTGTGACAGTGTTAAACGTTCCTTTTCTCTTTAGGACATACTGGTGCAGACTATACAATATAAGGAGATAGGAATAATGTAGAAAACGTGAAGAAATTTGCATCCTTGACATCAGCAGGATCTCTATAATTTACCTCAGTGGACACAGGATCTGCCTCACAATGAGGAAGATTTGTGAGTGGAGACTACTGTCCAAAACTCCCAACCTATGTGTACAAAACATGAATGCTGTGAAAATACAAACCAGTGTTCTTCAGAAACCTAAAGTCTCCCCTTTCTGCTCCAATTTCTTTTTATATTATTTTGATGGAAAGGAGAACCACAAAACCAAGTTTTGTTAGCTCGTTGGCAAATGTAGTCTTGTAATAAAAACTTGCTCCATTCCAGAAATATGTTCTCCACATGGAGCATCTCCCTGCAAAACCAGGATCTGTGTTTTCAGGTCTTTCATGCTCCTAGGCATTGCAGATATTGAAAGACCCCTTTTTCTGCAGTGAATTTGCATAAGGTATTTATCTTGTCCCTTTCCTTTTGTATGGCTAATTGTACAAAGTAATCAGTACGGAAGACACATCACTAGGCCTTATTGTGTGCATTATTAATGTGTTAATTTTTAAATAAGATACCAAATTAACTGTGAGCAATTTTTATAAAGGAAAACATGAGCCTGCCATATCTTACATCATTCCATATAAAAAAATATATTTTAAATGGAGGTCATTCAAGTAAATAGTCAGTCAAACCTTCTGGAAAAAATAGGTCTACGCTTTTGCAATATTTTCTTGCTATTAACCATGTGCTTCTCATTTTTATTCCTTGGATTAAAAATTGCCCCATAAATGGGTATTTTATAATATGCTTAATTTCCTTTTATTAAATTGATAAATGCAGCAGCAGAGGACACATTTACAATATGATGAGAATTTAAGGTTATTGCATTTTATAATTTTTATATTGTTCAGAGAAGTGATTTGTCATTTGTGGAATGACATCCATGCCATCGTTTCAAAGTATTTTCAGTCATTCTTTTGATAGGAAAAAGGTCACTTTCTGCAGACCAGGAAGACATCACTCTATTAAACTAATTTGCCTACATGCAAATTTTGTCATTTTTACCTCATTAAGTATTTATCATAGAGTAAAAAAATATATATATTCATGAAGGGGTAGCTAGCAGCCTGATGGAGCTGGAACTAATATTTTGCAACTCTAATGATTTTTTGCATCCTTAATTAGATAGCATAAGGTTGATATGATTAGGTCAGGATGTAGTGTTTTTCATTAAAATACATTTTAGAAGCTGTATTCATAATCTGCCCTCGCAATTAAATAATGAGCCTATGAGTTTAATATTATCGACCCAATTATTATCCCATGGAAAAAGTATATCTTTAATAAATTTGTGCCGTAGGACCTTCATTAGCAACAAAACAAATTATATTTCCAGGTACACAGATTACACGGCCACAATCACATTTACGTAGTGGTTTGGAAGGCACTGTGGGGAAAGAGCCACCAAAACCCCCTACCATACGCAAATCCACTTGATTATTTTGAAGAAGTAATTTACAATGCTTTTAATGAGGAAAGCTGCAAAGAAGTAAAAATGCCACCTACAGAGGCAAATAGAAATGTTTGTAGAAACAAACATTTTCAGAAACAGGATTCTAGGCACCCTCTGCTAGGAAGGAGCCTGGACCATCATTCCTCAACCTGTTATAAATATGGAGGCATAGCTGAATATTTACTGATCTTTTATTGGAGAAGGGTACCTGTTAAACATATGTTAAATTCCACAATCAGGAATATTACGACCAGTGGCAGACAAGAATATTTTAACTTGATAACAGCAGATTAGTGACGAGGTCTGGACTCTGGATTTTAGCCTTATTTATTTATTTATTTATTTTTGTAGATGTGATAAAATTGATAATGACTTGCTGTCCTCACAAAGTAACCAGTTTCCCAAAGTGAAGTGACAGTTCAGAGCCAAGGTATCAAGTGGGGTTTTCTTTTGCCCAAACAGAAAAGAGTCAAAAAAAGAAAAGAGGAAAGTATTTCTAGTAAAACAGGTTCTGACCAAGGATGGTTTCCTGAATGATGTCTGTTGTGGCTGGATCAGTTGTTAGGTTTGCAGTGCCCAGTGCATCACTTTCCTTGTGTTTAAAGCCTCTGAACTATTTATCAAGTGAATTGCTATCAACAGGGGTAAAAAAGAAAAAATCTGGTCCTTTGTGATTTTTACCAGATTTAGCCCTCAAGGTAGCACTACTGTTTACAGTGTGACTTTTTACATAATAACACTAATGATGAGAAAAGTTGTACAAGCAGCAAGCTGAAACAACACCTGTAGTTTACCAAGCATAGGCTCAAAAGGTTTGCACATAGAGAAGGTTTCGGAAAAAAAGATGCAAACTCTATAGGCAAGAAGATAATGTGAAACTTAGGCTTGAAATAAAGCCTGATGCACTGCAAAATTATTTTAATGAGACTAGGGCTAATTTTCTAATTCTAAAATGATATTATAGCAAACCATAAAAAATTACCCGGCAGTAGTTTTTTGAAAGGAAAATATATTTGTAATTATCTTGAACACACAAGATTACTTCAGGGCCTATTATCGACACAATTTTTGGTACCACTTTACACTAATTTGCATTTATTACTCTCAGGCCAACTATTAATATGTTAATAAATAACTCATTAATACTTGTTATTTAATTGCTATCTATTTATTCCTGTTCAATAATGCATTAATTATTTGTGAATAGTTGAGGGCAAAATCCTGCCCTTGCTGGTGGAATCAGCAGTGGCAAGAAAGGAAACTGGTGCCAGACTTGTTGGTGTTAGAAGAACCACTTAGCTGTAAGAGAGCAAGTCATTTAACACACTTAACATGAGGTTAACTTTTCATCTTGCCTTAGAAGAAGATTTGTGAGCCTCCAGGTTGCCTGTGCTGTAGCAAAGATGCTTGACCACAGGTGGGG